CCCCAAAACCCCAAAACCCCAAAACCCCAATAATTTGGAAAACAGGTACGAGAGTGATTTGATAAATATATATTACAGAAATTATATTAGTAACAGTTCTAGATTTATATCTGCGTTCTCATTATTATCTTTGCTTGTACCAAGTTGGGACTAACTGCTCCACAACGCCTGGATTATCTCTCGCTTCATCTATTTGAGTTACTTAATAAAATTTTAAAGCTTACCCGCAGTAAAATTGAAAAGATCTGGGAGTGGCATGCCATTTGGTAGTCTTGTGTTAGGGTCTCTAAGTTCATCAAAGTAGCTGTCAATAAGAGCAGCAAGTGGTCTTGGTCTTCTTGCTGGGTCGTAAACTAAGAGACTTGAAACAAATTAGATTGCTTCTTTGGGTGTTTTTGAACGGAATACTTTGTCCCATGGCATTGGCTTAATTTAAGGGAACTTGTATTCTTTATATTCGGGATTCATTGCTAAGATCTGCTCTTTAGATGGTGTACCAAGGACCTTGATAATTTCTACTAATTAATCAACTCCGCTTTCTCCTGGGAAAATTGGTCTTCCGAGCATAATTTCTGCGATGACGCATCCAACTGACCACACATCAATGGCTGTATTATAGTTAGTGTTTCCGAAAATGAGTTCTGGAGCTCTGTAATATCTAGAACAGATATAGGCTATGTTTGGCTCTCCTGGAACTAATTGTTTAGCACTTCCAAAATCGCATAACTTTAGAATATGGGATGATGTATCTACGAGTACGTTGTGAGGTTTGATATCTCTGTGGCATATTCCAATTGAGTGGATATAGGCTAAGGATCTCATTAATTGATATGAATATATTTTGACAAGCAAGGGAGGAACCATTTGCTTCATCTTTAGATATGTTTTCATGACTTTATTCAAAGTTTCGGGTATGAAGTCCATAACAACGTTAAGATAAACCTCATCCGGCTTATCTCCGTTAGTATAAAATGACTATCTCATTTCGATGCAGTTAGGATGCTTCAGCACCTTCAGAATTTGAAGCTCCCTATTTTTATATCTCTTGTCCTAGAAAACTTTCTTGATGGCAACCACCTCACTAGTTTCTGCCACCGTGGCCTTGTAAACTACGCCAAATGTGCCATTTCCAATAATTTTTTCAACATTGTAAGTCAAACTCTTCTACGAATAAATTAAAAACTGAAGTGTTTACCCCAGGAGGTCTCTATTATTGTTACTACTTCTGCTTATCTTGGGTATTTAAACTGTTAGTTGAATCTCCCATCTTGCTGACGCCGCCCTTAGTCAAATCCTATTTATTTGGCTCCTAATTAAATAAATGAGGGGTAGATGATTACCATTAATACTAAGCTTATATTATTAGAATTATAATATTAATATCGTTAGTTTAAATGTAATCTTATTCAGATTGATTTTTTAAAACAAACTCATTAATAAAAAACCAATTACATTCAATCTAAACAATCTAACCGAATTATTCAATCATAAATGCTTTGAAGATTTTCCTGATTTCTAGTTGATTTTCATTTGAATTGAGACCAGGATGCCCATAATTATAATTAAAAGTAAAAAGCTTAGGATTGGGAATCCTCCTTCAAAATCCTAGTCAACACTATCTTTCATCTATTCAGCTCCTTCTTTCATTAGTTTCAACTATAATTTATTATTGAATAATGGGTTGGGCTTACAATATCTTAAGGGATCTTTTTGTTTGATTCGAACTTTGCTCTATTTTACTTTTGCTTGTCTGTCTCAGAAATGAATATTTCTGGAAAGTCTTTATTAAATTAGTCAAACAATGAATTTGATTTAGAGACCAAGGTTGCAACTTAATCGACTTAATCCTAAAGAACTCTTAGAGCTTTGATTAAAGTAGGTAAAAGTTTGATTTATTCATCCCCATCGGCAGCCCTTAGCTTCATTATTTCTTCTTCTGATGGAAATTCTTGCTTAATCAAAGATTTAAGCATGGGATCATCTCTAAGTTTCTATACAGCATTTTTTACATTTTCAAATCCAGCTGACAACGTACTGCTTCTTTCCCCTATTGATGAGATTTATTCTCTTACAGTGTCCATTTTATCATATTGCAACAGTATTTGCTCAGCATAGCTTTGATCTTCTTGATAGCCATTTATTCTATTATACATGTCATCTAAGTTGCTAATGAACTTAAGAAGCAATTCGTAGTATTTGAACAATATTTCAAACTGATCATCCCTCTCAATGTCGATAAAGACACCTGAATTAAAAAACTTTTTCTTATACTCCAATCTAATAGAAGCAGAAAGCAAATCATGAGGATGAATATCTGATTCATTCAATTAACCTGTACGGCTTTTCCTAACTAGCATTGTTAATCTCTCATTTTCGATGGCCTATTTGTCAGTGTAAGATCTAGGATCACGGTTTTTTACGTAAATGGCATTCAGATCCACATCGTTAATGAATTCTTCATTGTTATATGCAGCAATAGAAAGATATGGCCTAAATCTCTCGAAAGCAACCTGCTTATTGCAGTACATGTACTCTACATCACCATTTGCTTATCTAATATCAATTTCATAGCCTGAATCGTCAAGTCTCACTCTTATACCACCTCTTACACCTGAGTTAATTTCAATCGGGCAAGAGTTGGTCTGCAATATTAAATTCTCTAAACTTTCATATTTATCTTATCCCTTATTCTGAATCGCTATAACATACTAAAGGGTTTTAGTTGAAAGTTAATTACCCATTTTCCTGGAAATCTCGAAGAAGACCGATAAAGGAATACGCCTATGTTAAAGTGTTAATCATATAGAATTACCAAAACCATGGAATTATTTCTTTATCCCTAGAAAGTCTCCAAAACTTTCAGGGTAGACTGGTTCCTCAGGGTTTAATTTAATAACAAACCCGCTTTGTTTATCAAGATTACCTTGAATAGTGAATTCAATATCAAGTTCAAACTGACTTGTGTCTAATTACTATGAAATAATAATGTCATTAAAGAATCTAAAAGACTTACTTTACTCAAGATATACGCTCCATGTTATTTTTTGACAGCAGGAATTAGCTTAACTTTAGTCATTAGCTCTACTGCAGCAGAATAAGAATAATAGGCTATAGGGCCTCTATGAGCTGAGTAATCAAATGTGTATGCTTCTAGTTCTTGACTCACAAAAATGTAGTCACCGATGACAATTTGAGCAAGTAAAGTGAGAGTGAGACTCGCTAAAATTTTACAAGCTTTTTTCATTCTTTAATTAATATTTTTACAATTAAGATAATTCATTAATTTTATAAGCCATTAATAATTCATAATCTTGCACTTTAGGGGTTTTGGGGTTTTGGGGTTTTGGGG